TTTTCACGCTGGCAACAATATTATACACATTCTGCCAAAGTTTAACGCATATCGTACGATTAGTCTTTGTTTGGCGTCTATACAAAAAGTTGAAAAGTTTTCGTGTAGCGATTTTTATAAAAACGGTCGTACAAGCTTGGACCAAAGAATCTATAGTACAAAGAAGTGCCACGCTCATACAAACGAAATACCCACTTTATTTTGCTGGTGGATTTATAATAAATCCTCATGCAACAATGTTCGATCGAGTCACAACTGGTATGATGTTCAGTTCAAACTCATTGCAACCCACAATTGTTTTTATACGCCTGTTTCTTTTGCCTTTCTTGTTTTTATTTGTCTATTTAATTAATATACATGGATTAGTAACGAAGTGAATGGTAAAGAAATCCCTCAAATAATTTTTCGATATACTTTGTTGCTTTATCTTCTTGTACTGGAAAGGCCCATATCATAGGAGTAAAGAGTAATAGAATATATTATTTTTTTTATTGCAACAAATGATGCACTACAAAAACCATTATGTATGTACAAATATGATATTGGAGACATGAAGTCTACAGTATATTAATATGTATGTTTTTATTGCACATTTGTGCATATATTTTACCTCAAAAGGAACTACTTCTTAATAGTTTGAATTTTTGGTGACTTTTTGTGATTATTTTAAAAAATGTTTTTAAGATTCATATAAAAGTGTTTTAAAAGTATTTTAAAGAAAATAAAAATATTAGAAAAGTAAGAAAACTTATATTGAAAAAATGTATAGAAGTCACTAAAACCACTAATAATGCTTCCTGGTTTGAGGAAGCGCATAAATGCTATTTACAAAGGATTGAAATGTTAAAATTGGAAAAGTCAGAAAAAGGAAAAAATCAGATTTGAGACATAAATAAATTTGTAATGTGTTTTTACACTACAATTCATAACAATATCAAACAGGTAATTTTGTTTCATATGCTTTCAAATTCAAAAACTTATCAAACGTACACAATTTTGACTTCGTCACTGAAATGCTGTTTGATCGTTTGAACATTTTACAGCGAACAAACATACAAACATGCGTATAATATAATACAGAGGGTTGCATGTATGATTGAATACGAATGCAGTCGGGCTTTTGTCAGCCTTACTCGACTCACATATAGGTTTAAAATGGACATCATACCAGTTGTGACTCGATCGAACATTGTTGCATGAGGTTGGGTGGATTTATTATAAATCCACCAGCAAAATAAAGTGGGTATTTCGTTTGTATGAGCGTGGCACTTCTTTGTACTATAGATTCTTTGCTTGGACCATAATGAGATCCCTGGCCTCCCAACAACTTCTGTTACTGAATAAAACATTGAACCGGCAAAGCAGATCTTGTTGAAAAATCGTTGTGAACCGATTAGAGATTGCAGTGTTGTTGGGCACCTCATATGGATCGGCCGAACACATTTTAACTGATGTTTTGGGTTTAAAATGCGTCGCTTCTCGGCTGGTGGCACAAAAGTTGAATTTCATTTAAAAAAAGCCGCAGGAGCTTAGTGTCGGTAGTGCCAGCTTTAAATATTTATATTTATTTATTAAAATAAAATAAATATAGAGGGGTTTTTGAATAGCAAAGAAAGAAATAAAGGACAAACACAAAAATTTATTTTAATTTTATTGAAGATTGGCTGACAATACAACGCTGTTTCGAGTATTGCCAAGTACTCTTCATCAGTGGTCTTTGGAATAATCGAATTTTTATTTAATTAGTTTATAGTCCGTATATAATTTGTTTGGACTGCAAGTGCCAGGCTTAGAACTCGTGCCTGTCAAATTAGAAGCGATGACTAATCGTGTTTATCCACAAGAAGCCAAGGCTGCACAAACTTTCAATGCTCAAGTGCCAGGTTTTATTGTCACATATTTTTATTTAATTAGTGACAACAACCAACGCACTTGCCGTGCTTTTTAAATTAGAACGAGCTTATAAACTACAGCTTTATTTTTGGAAACACAAGTTCAACGAATTGAAAGTTTAACTTTTGGGTTTTGCCTATTTCTTTATTTCTTTTCAAAGCTACTCTTTTTGTAGAGACATTTTGTAATGCATATTGTTTTACTTACTATATGTAAAGCGACCATTCTGGTGCTTTTTACAAAGAAGCTATGCTATGTTATTCTACAGATCCGCTTTCGCGGTTAGGAAAAGTTGAACAATATTATATTTTAACATATTGTTCTTTACTTTTCACAAGTCTAATATTTGAATAAAGTATTAGTGTTGCTATAAAGCTACGCTTTCTTTGTATGGGGACAAAGAAGCTTTATTAAAATTTAGAGGGTTTTCGAATAACAAAGAAAGAAATAAAGGACAAACACAAAAATTTATTTTTAATTTTATTGAAGTTTGGCTGACCATACAACGCTGTTTCGAGTATTGCCAAGTACTCTTCATCAGTGGTCTTTGGAATAATCGAATTTTTATTTAATTAGTTTATAGTCCGTATATAATTTTTGTTTGGACTGCAAGCGCCAGGCTTAGAACTCGGATATCTTCAACTCGTACTGGCATCGTGGATATGAGTCTCATTGTATTCTGTAATGGCATCGTTGATGGGTACTCAACTACTGTACACCTGTGGATAGTTTCTTCTTGAACACGGCTTCGACTCACTTTGTGCTGTGTTGTGTGATGTCCTTCAAAGTTATCAGCAAGTGTTGCTAATTCATATAAGCTTGCGAAGTCTTGATGTTTGATGTACATTTTGTAGTCTGCGTTCATGTTGCGATATATTCGCTCTAATTGCGAATCTGAATTCAGGCAAGCTCGTCGCATTAAATTTTGAATGTCGATAAAATAATCCTTGAATTTTTCCTTTGGTTTATGAAGCCGCAATCGCACCTCATCTAATTTCTCAAAATAATTAGGGGAAATGAAAAATTTAAGGAAGTCGACTTTGAAATTTGTCTATAGCTGCCAATGCTTATTATTATTGCGATACCACATTAGTTCCTTATCTTCGAGAAGTATAGGCATCGTCTTGGGAACTAGATTGACGTTAATGGCGTAAGCATCTGCTATTTCTTCTATTCTTTCTACAAAACCCAATGAATTCTTTCCTCCGTCGTAACATACCGACCACTTCCGTATCTGTTCTATGAGCATACGATGAGGCCATAATCGACATGAGGCATTTAATCTTTGGACGTCTTGTGTTTATATTTTAATTTGTGGTAACGTTAGCTTGTGCCATTCATTCTGATGATAAAATCATAATTTCTTTCGGTTTACATTGTTTTCCTGATTGCTTTCGTATTTAAAATCTCTTGAACACTGTCATAGTTGATTTTGGCTGGGATAACTTCATTATTTAAAAATCCTCGAACACTTGTCCCTGCTCGGGCGCCAATTGTAACGACAATTTTCGTCGCTCTTTTTGCCGAGATAATACTCAGGGTTGGTTCTGGGTCGTTACAATAAATTTTTAAATGATAAAAGACGGTGTTTGATTTCAATATTTGTTTATTATGAGGTTATCTTAAAACTAACAATGTTTATTTATTTATATTTGATATTTATAAAAATTATGATACCTGTTGTGGAAGACGGGTTATATGGTAGACGTTATTATCTATAGACGTGTTCACGCTTATATATATATATATATGGCTTAGTAAGTGGGAAAGGATCTAAAACGTGTTCACGCTTTATATGAGGTTTAAGTAGTAGGATATGAACGTGTTCACGCTTATATCTGCTACCGGGGAGGGATATACAAATCAAAGCAAAATTTGTTATGTAAGTCTCTGTTTATACTTAGCTCTGCGGCCGACTTTGTATGTTGTGTTTGACTGTCCAAGCCCCTGGTGCGTTTTCTTGTCTTCGAAAGTTGATAACGAGCCTCTGTCCGCTTCTGAACACTTTGCGTGTTGATCACTGACTGCCTTCTTCTAAGTAAATGTGTCTTATTATATACGAATCAGACCAAACTTTAACGTAGCGCAAAGCTTAGTTTACAGCTGGCTTGGATTTTTGACGTCGTTGCTGTTTTGCGCTTTCGCCGTAGTTAATATGCGCGCGCATCAATTTTTACACAAAGCTCTTTGCACAAAAGCTTTTTTTGACGTTTCTTGTGTTGTGCATTTGTTTTGTTTTGAAACGTGTTTAGCTTAGTGTCGGTAGTGGCGGCTTTAAATATTTATATTTATTTATTAAAATAAAATAAATATTAAAGATATTAAAAGTATAAGTTTAAATAATAAATAAATAGGGTAGGTACAATATTTATTTATTTGAATATATTTTGCATTCTTTTAAATTTTCAATGTAATCTTAGGTTTATGTACGATCACACCAAAATGTATGATCAGACGCTGAATCAAAAGTTGAAATCAACTGTTTGCAAGTACTGAACTCTTAAATCCAGTACTTATGTTGACTTATTTGAACACGAGAACCACTGAGCACTTGAACCCAGTGATTTGACGATTGTCCTAAATTATCCTGATTACTGAACACTTGAATCCAGTAGGCAGGTGCTTATATGGTGTAAATTTGGTACTTGAACCAACTCTACAAGCTATTAGAACGAACAAAAAAAGAATCGATAACGAATGTGCCTTCGAATTAATTGAATTGTCAAAAATTCAGTTGTGCCTTTTATTTAAAATTAATAATTAATTTACAATAAATAAATTAACTAAAATAACCTTGACCATGCATGCCAAAAAATGAACTTATTGCAAACTGCAAGAGTGCATTTTCTTACAGACGAAATTTGACGCTTTTGTTTTCATGTGCCAACAGAAGCGTATGAAGTATTTTGGGCATTGCATTGCCAACGTTATTTTTTACACCAAATATATTCAACACAATTATTAAATACAAATAAAAATAACAAATTATTCATGCAAAATTAATAACAACAAAATATTCATATATATAAACAAATATTCAACATTCTCCCCCGCGTTGAACAACCGTTCAACAATATGAGCCTCTAGCTGTCAGGTAGTCAGTCCGACTATATGTTGATGACGAATTCTTGTGATTGTCGACGTGGCATGGGTATAGGTGTCGTGCGAGTCGCTTCTTCATCGGATGGAATTTCAACATGTTTTTTCTGCAATTTCTTCTTCATCATGATTATGATTAATATCAGCCCTATAACGAGTGCAGCGTAAGCTATGGTGAAGCTGTAGTACTTGTGTGACTGAAATTGATTTGGAAGATCATTTATCTGGTATGACTGTAACACCTTCTGCAATACTGTGAGTTCTTTAAGCTGTTGATCGTATTGGTTGTTGCGTACCGTTGACAGTGTACTGTTGCCGCTGTAAGCATCTGATGTCTTCATAGGGGGTTGTAGCCTTAATTCGGAGATTGTATCAAGACTACTGTATGAATATCTTGCCGTGCTTGCAATTATTTGTTGTCCTTGCATGGAAACGAAGTTGTCTTTAAGCACGCAGTCTGGATCGATCGTCAATAAACCTGAACCTTTTAGATTTAGTGATATGATTTCCTTATTACATACTGCAGTTGCTCGTGAAGATGTTGATGTCGCATAAATCCATTGATTTTTGTGATTCAATGGAATCCAGGTCAGCTTGTTGATAGTGTGCTTCAACCGACTATTTGGTATTGTGTTGTTGTTGAATAGGTTGACCTCACACGCACATACTTCGGAACCAAAATTGTATCGTATGCGAACGTTGGTGCAAGGAAATTCCTCTTCCTTAATGGTCTCACAAAGACTTAATTCGGATTTTATAAGAGGAAAATATTGATCATGCTGCGTATTAATAGCCAAAATAGAACTGCAGGAGTCATTTACCCAGTTCGGGATTGGAATTAGCTGAAACAATTCAAATCGTTCATGTTCAATCAAGGGTAATGTTATACTAAAAACTGCATGCTGCTGTGTGATTCCACCTTTAACCTTCATTAGTCTGTAAAGGGATATTAACTCATCTTTTGGCATCGGTAATTCTAATGATGGTGATAAATGAAGTTTGATTTGATTAACTTCCTTTTGTAATTGTGTTGGTGTCAATAACAATGGATTCAAAATGCCTGTCGATGTTTTAACGTCAGCTACTCGGATACGTCCATCTGTACCCTTGTACACATGTACAATTCGTCCCAAAGGCCACTGCATCACTGGGACGTTATCTTCTTTGATTATAACCATGTCTCCTAACTGTATGTTGGCAGATTGTGTTTTCCATTTGATACGTTGTTGCAGTTCCATCAGATATTCGTTAGACCAGCGTTTCCAGAAATTATGTTTTAACTGGGAAACTAGGTTCCAACGTGACAATAACGTGTGTTTTTCTGGTTTTGATCGGCTGTCTACATGAGTTGTAAGAGCTTCTCCAATTAATAAGTGTCCTGGAGCTAATGCTGTCAAATCAGTTGGATCATTGGACATTGGAGTCAATGGTCGTGAATTTAATATCGCTTCAATTTCCATCACTACTGTTTCGAGTTCTTCATACGTCAATGATGCTGTTGAAACGCTGCGTAGTAACAAATATTTTGCGGACTTTACGGATGCTTCCCATAAACCGCCAAAGTGTGGAGCCCTTGGTGGAATAAAATGAAAGTTTATTCCTGTGGTACTGCAGGCAGAGATTATTGCTTCTTGTCCTTCATTAGAATAAATGCTTTCTTCTAATTCTGCTAACTGGTTTTTGGCGCCTACGAAGTTTGTTGCGTTATCACTGTAAATATTCAAACAACGCCCTCGTCGACTTATAAATCGTTTTAATGCTCCAATGAAAGCATTTGTTGATAAGTCGGTCACTAACTCGAGATGTACCGCCTTTGTAGAAAAGCAACAAAAGACAGCAATATATGCCTTTGTTGGCTTTTTGCCCCTCACCTTGTAGTGGATCCAAAATGGTCCGCAATAATCTACACCAGCATTAATAAAGGGTCTTGCAGGAGTTATTCTTGATTCTGGTAGATTCCCCATAATTTGTTGGCATAGTTGCGGACGTGCTTTGTTGCATCGAATGCATTGCTGAACCGTTGCTCGGGCTGTTGATTTACCTTTAATCGGCCCAAAAAGTTGTCGTGCTATACTCAATAGTGCCTGCGGGCCACAGTGCTTGTTTTCTTCATGGAACATTACGAATAATAATTTTGCCAATGGATCATTGTATGGGATCAACATTGGGTGTTTAGAATCGTATGGTAATGATGAGGCTTCTAAGCGTCCTCCTACTCTAAGAACATTTGCATTATCAATGAATGGAGATAAACTACTGATTGAACTAGATTTATCAACATGGCCTTGTTTCTTCAGTTGTTTGATTTCTTCATGAAAATCATTACCCTGAATGTGACATATTATAGTTATTAATGCTGCTTCCAATTCGGTAGCACTGTGTGCTATATGTATGACACGTGACTCCTTTGACATTCTTGTGTTGTTAATGAATCTAAGAACATATGCTACTATCCTTTGTAACGTCTTGAAAGAATTCTTGTGCTGAATCCTGTATATGAAATCTGCGTCATTGCATTGAGTTGCTACAGCTACAACCTTTTTCTTCTCCAGATCAACTGGAACTTGTAATGATGATGAAAACCTTGGTGGCCATACTTCCTACCTTTCATGCAAAAAGAACGGTCCTTGAAACCAAAGTACACATATTGACAATGCCCTTGCTGGAAGTCCTATTGATAACACATCAGCTGGGTTGTCCTTTGACCTAACATGACGCCACTGTTCAGACAGAGTTAAAGTTTGAATTCTTGCCACCCTGTTAGCTACAAATGTTTGAAATGATGAGGACTGTGAGTTGATCCAAGACAACACAATTTCTGAATCAGTCCACAAAAATACTGGCTGGTCCTTCTCCTGAAGATCGCTTTTGACTCTTACTGAGAGTTCCGCTGCTAAGACTGCCGCAGATAGCTCTAGTCGCGGTAGCGTTTGTTTTTTAAGTGGTGCTACTCTTGACTTTGCACATAATAGCCGCACTATTATTCTACCATCTTTTAAAATTGCTCTGACATATGCTGCAGCACCAAATGCCTTTTCAGATGCGTCAGCAAAAATATGTAGCTGTGTTGATGATGGAACCTCGCCTCTGAAGATATGTCTTGGCACCTGAAGATTTTCAAGAGTACTTAAGTTTTTTCTAAATGTTGACCATGTTATACGAAGATCTGTAGGAAGTGGTTCATCCCAAGATAATTTCAACTGCCATAAGTGTTATATGAAAATCTTTGCCTTCACTATTACTGGAGCTAATAACCCAAGTGGGTCGAACAGTCTAGCTAAATCAGAACTAACGACTCTCTTCGTGATTATACCTTCCATTTTGACCTTAATTCCAAATAAATCCGCTTTGGGCAACCAAAATAGTCCCAGCGTTTTGATTGACTCGTTATTATCATTAGTAAAATCTAGATTTACCACTTGATGATCTTGAGAAATGTTTTTCAAAAGTTGAGGATGGTTTGCACTCCATTTCCGTAGATAAAACTGATGCTTCTTTAAAATATGGATTAATTGCCTTTGAGCTTCAATAGCCGTAATTAAACTATCTGATCCACCGAGCCCATCGTCAACGTAGAAATTGTCACACAGGATTTGAGCTCCCAATGGATAATTCACCTTGTTTTCTAATGCTATCTTTTGCAGACATCTTGTTGCTAGGTAAGAAGCTGCTCGAGTCCCATATGTTATTGTGTTTAGCTGATAATAATGATTCGTTGAATTTAGACTGCTTCTCCAAATGATAAGTTGATAGCGTCGATCTTCAGGATTTATCAAAACTTGAAGATACATTTTCTCGATATCTGTGGTAAAAACAAACCGTGGTCGCCTAAAACGGAGCAGAATTGAAAAGAGTTCACTTTGAACTGTCGGTCCGTTATACATTAAATCATTCAACGAGTGTCCAGATGTAGTTTCGGCTGATGCGTCAAACACCACTCGAAGTTTAGTAGTTGTACTATCTGGTTTTAGTATGCAATGATGAGGAATGAAATATCTTGGAGTCAACATGGGATTCAAGTTTACTTCAGTCATGTGACCCACTCGATCATACTCTTCCATAAACTGCACATATTGTTTCCGCAAAACATCATTTTTTCGTAGTCGTCGTTCAAGACTGATGAACCTTCTCCAAGCTGTTTCTTGAGATTCTCCTAACGTCAATGAGTTTTCCAGAAACGGCAACCTTACCACAAAACGTCCTTCTTTATTTGTATGAACGTTCTGAACAAAATGAGATTCGCATAATTTTTCTTCTTTGGATAATGTCCTCTCTGTTGTATTCACGTCATCCATTCGCCATAATCGTTCAATTGCATTTTCTAATGATGAATTATTATCAACAACCTCCGCCCCACCGCCAAAAACTGCACATAAAACATTTGATGTGTCTGTATTTGATGCAACCTTGCCACTGACAATCCAGCCAAGTGTAGAGTTTTGCAAGACTGGAAGCCCAGGAGCAAGCGTTAATTTACCTTTCTTTAACAGACTAAAATAGAACTCCGCACCGAGTAAAATATCAATTTTCCCTTGTTGGAAAAATGTTGGATCTGCTAACTGAATGCTGTTCGGGACCTTCCATTTGGAAATATCGTAGCTGCAACTTGGTTGAGGTGGAACTATATTTGGAAGCACAAACGCTTTGACTTCTGTAGTAAACCTTGAGTTAAGTGATTGCAATTTGATGTTAACCCGCTGCGTTGAATTTTTTTGCACCTTTCCTATACCTTCTATGCACAATAACGATTTTGTTTTTGATATATTGAGCCTTTTGACAAGACCCTCAGAGACTATGTTCACTTGCGAACCAGAGTCTAGTAATGCTCGGACTTCACTTGTATTTCCATTAGATGCAGTTATTTTGACTCTTGCAGTTGGCAAGAGAACATAATCACGATAACCTGTGGATGTGTTTGCTGTCGCTGTGGTAACTGCGGTGTTGTACCCACTTGAGCTAGGTTGAATGTTTTGTTTTGTTTGATTGTTAACTTCCAACTGTAGCAACGTGTTATGCTTTTTATTACATTTGGTACAACTTCTTGATGAAAATTTGTTCACCACATGATCATTTCTGAAACAGTTAAAACAGAGCTGTTGATTTTTCACCCAATCCAATCGTTGAGATGGTGAAAATTGCAAGAATTTACGGCAATGATACAGTGGGTGCCTGTCTACATTGCACAGTTTGCAATTGTTGTTTCCTTTAGAAACTGTTACAGCCGATGACACTGAGTTATTTCGATTTGCTTTAATTTTTATAGCCACCTTATCTTTTTGTTCTACAACTTCCATCAGTTGGAACTGTCATTCTAAAAAGGCTAAAAACTCCTGAATGTTTTGTATCTCTTTTGGTTTTGCCAGAGATTGCTCATATCTAATGAGCATCGCCCGATCGAGTTTTTTAATTAGTACCTGTAACAAAATTGGGTCCCAAAATGTCGTTTGAACGCCAAGATTGTTTAGTGCTAATAGACACTCTTTCGTTGTGTCATGTAAATTTTTAACTGTTGCCACAGTTGATGTGCCTGTGGCTGATTTAAAAGTTCATCGATTAATGTGGACGCCAAGACCCTTTTATTATTATAACGGTCTTGGAGTAATATCCAAGCTGCCGAATAATTGTCTTCCGTTATGCTGAAATGACTTATCAATTTTTCAGCTTCACCTGTCACATGTGATTTCAAGTACCACATTTTTTGAGCAGCTGGTAATGGCTGAAGTCAACAAATTGCCTCCATTTTAAGTAATTCCCATTAAAACTTGGGATTGTTACCTTTGGCAATGGCAGTGAGGACCGCATGTTTGGTTCTGCTACTGTTGCTTGTTTCTGTTGTAATTGATCCAATTTTATGGACAACTCTATCAAACATTGTTGTACCAAATCTTCAATTTGGTAATACTCATCTTGATTGAATCCTGACATTAGCGGATTTTCAAAGTTTTCGCAGAGTTCATCATGCAAACATTCCAATTGGTTCCAATGTTGCATGATTGTGTTTGATTTAATTTCGTAATATTGAAGTGGTTGAATGCCTTCGCTCTCTGACAAACTCTCTATTAATCTTTTTAGAGCTGCCATTCGAGCAGATATTTTTCTTATCAAAGCATTTGTCGTAGCCACTAGTTGCGGCTGTGATGCCTTTTGGTTACTAACAGCTTCACCAAAGTTGTCTGCTGCTTTGATTGTTGCCATCGTTATTTTGGAGTTTTTGCTTAAAAATGTTCTTCGAATGCTGAATGCTGAAACTTAACCGCTGACTGTTGATTGTTGACTGTTGCTGCGTCAAACCAGTCCTGTGCTGCAAAATGTACGATCACACCAAAATGTATAATCACACGCTGAATCAAAAGTTGAAATCAACTGTTTGCAAGTACTGAACTCTTAAATCCAGTACTTATGTTGACTTATTTGAACACGAGAACCACTGAGCACTTGAACCCACTGATTTGACGATTGTCCTAAATTATCTTGATTACTGAACACTTGAATCCAGTAGGCAGGTGCTTATATGGTGTAAATTTGGTACTTGAACCAACTCTACAAGCTATTAGAACGAACAAAAAAAGAATCGATAACGAATGTGCCTTCGCATCAATTGAATTGTCAAAAATTCAGTTGTGCCCTTTATTTAAAATTAATAATTAATTTACAACAAATAAATTAACTAAAATAACCTTGACCATGCATGCCAAACAATGAACTTATTGCAAACTGCAAGAGTGCATTTTCTTACAGACGAAATTTGACGCTTTTTGTTATATCTGTATAATTTCGATATTTATTTATACAAAAAACTCCTAGTTATTATTATTTCACAAGTTCAAAATAACTGACAAAATTAAAATGTTAACTCTTCTTTATATGTCATCTGTCATCTTGGCAGAGTTGCCAACACCTCCCCTTTTCAGATTAAATCTCCAATGCGGTGATTCTAGGGTCTATAACGGTCAATAGGATGTCTAGTACGCCTTTGTCGGGTATACGGAACAACTGCCTCATTGTGCTTAACCATGTTTTTGTTAGTTATTTCGACCACATTTTTAGGTGTTGTTTCGTAGAGGCCAAATGCATCAACTAAACACTTTTCGTTGGCGATATCTTCGGAAGTACATATTTCTAAAGATAACTCATTTTCTTGATCTTTTCGGTCACCGCACTTGTTTTTAAACTTGGCATTTGGGTCTGGTAAAGACACCAGCGTTGGTTTAATCAGGACAAGTTTAATACGGATGTTTCTTTTTAGTAAAACTTCAGCTGGCGATTTACTGTCCTCATTTTGCTTATTCGGAGTTTAGTAAGTTGATTACCTTTAATATATTATATAAAAATTAACCAATTTTTACACAAATGTTATCTTTTACAAACGATCTTTAGGCGTTTGTCAAGACTTAAGCAAATATTTTACTGAGAATTTATTTTTGTTAGGATATGGGCGAGAAGAATAACTGTTGCAATCTGTCAGGAGTTATGTTTTGGCAAATAGCAACTCTTGCAAATTTGCACATAATACAAGCAAATCACATTTTATATAAAATGAATAGTTAATAAAAAATTGAAAATTAAAATGAATTTGGAATTTAAAGGAATGCTAAGAATGTGTGTAATTTCAAGAAAACGCAAATGTATGCAGTTTTTGATTTTTGATTGAATTTTTGTTTACATATGATATTTGACATATGATTGCAATATTCATTGGAGTTTCAAATGAAGACTCACAATAATTCGCTTATTGTATTGGTTCACTTTGTTCTTTACTGGCCGAATTGTTTAAATTGTTTACTGGCCTGGATAGAGAAAAAAGTGTTGTTGTTGTGTGTACATTTCAGTCAGTATAATCCAGCAACTTGGTATTTTTGAGAGAGCGACTGAAAAGACCTACAGATATAACGATTTCTACCGTGGTCATAACTAATTGTGAAAGAGGCAAAACTTTTATAGCGAAATCAAACAGGAGCTATATTGTTAATGACACTGAAATTTCGGTGCAATGTGAAAGGCAGTAATGTGTTGAATGATGTAGTACAATGCAATAAGTTGTGCCAGCTGGAGCACTTCATGAATTAATGAACGAAAAAGTGCACATCATACTCTCGCAGTTGTTATAAGCAAGCGAATATTCAAGAAACGCAACGAATACTGTTGTTGGGACCATAATTTGAGCCATTGGCTGCACATCTCTGCACATTTTCTACCACACTCAACTCAAACTTGCTTCTTTCTAGGTTGTTATTTTTACTTATAATCTTAATTATATGTTATTCCATTGATGGAGGTTTTAAAAATTAAAACAAGGGCTTAGTAAGTATTTCATTTACAGCGCAATATTTTATCAGGAACCGTCATTTGTGTCAGCATAAATGCAACAGTGCAATTAAGTACTAAAATCTTATACTCTTATCTTATACTATTCTTTTACTATACTTTATATTACTATTGTTATTTTAGTTTTAAGTTCTCTATAACAAAAGTCTTTGCACTGAACGGTCGTGTGCGGAACTTCATATTTATTTCTAACAATTTGTTGTCACTTAATTGCGTATTTACAATGCCATACCGACAACAACACAGTACACACAACAACAACACAGTTTTTCAGAGTTAATAATCTTGATGTTATGCAGTTAGTTTTAAGGATTTTAAAAAAGAGTCAATAAGCTTCTAAATGAAACGAATTTGTCGCTTTTTAAATATGTAATCACAACTATTTTAACTGTATCGCAAACTTTGTAATGAAACTGATCTCATTATTGATAACGTAAAAATCAATATTTAATGAATCTTTAGCTTTAGTATTGTTATATATGTAACTATTTACCAAATAATGATCCGTGAATAAATAACATATGAGAAAGGTCAATTGTTTTTAATTTGAATTGTTATAGTAACGACGATAAAAACAAAAAAAAATTGTTAACTTCATTGTTGGAGCAAACATACATATATTCTACAAAATTTGTGTCATGCACCTAAAATAGTAAGTCAACAAATTTTCGATTCACACTTGTCAGGGTCTGCGGAGCTACTCGAATTTTATAATTTTTAAAAACTTGTGACCTGGAAAGAGTGGTCAATTTGAGTAGTTTCGAAATATCGATAACAAACTTGTATCCCGTAGCCTTGAAAGAGTAATTAAAACAAAAAATTGAAAATAAGTGCTTCCAATTGTATGATAACAGTTTAGGTTGTTTTAATAGGAACTAAACAATATTGTAGTTTGTTATAGGCAAAAATACCAAAATTTTGTAAGCCCAGAGTAATTTTTCTGGGCGGATGTTGTCTTTTCTTTGGACAATATTTTAATTACAACTCCAGTTGTTTTTGGGGTTAATTACTTTTTAAAGGCATTATATATCAACTGTTAGAAATAAAAGTGCCCCTTTATAAAAGTAAATTAAAACCTGCTGAAATCCAGATTATACAATTTGTTGAAATGGTTTATTGTATTTCCACCTCTCTGATATATCTCTATATATCCCACAGCCTGTTCATTCTATTCGCAGTTGCCAAAAGTGAAAAATTCATAAAAAACCAAATTAACATAAAAACAAAACATATATATTTTAAAAAAGAATAACTAAGTTTATTTGTCAAAAATTTATAAAATGGTTGCTAACTTGCAAAATACAAATGAAAACAAAAGCCAATGTCGAGTGAAGGGAGTATATGGGGTTTTAATATGTAACGTAAAGGCTCTCTAAAAACAAACGTCAATCTTACCTGCTCGTGGAGCTCCCCGCTTTTATATGCAATACTCTGATATAGACAGCGAATAGACAGCGAAACATCTATCTCACACCAACTCATAAGGGCAGGAAACGTAGTAACACTATTAAAATAGCAAGACGAGAAAATAAGAATGGCGCACATAAAATTTTTGAACGAGAGTTGAAAAAAGAAATAAGGCTAAAACACAACTTCCTAATCTCGAATATCTTATGAAAAGACAAGTACTGCACAAGTACTTGTCTGTGAGTATTTAAATATCGGTAAGGATGTTAAACGTCAAGTATGGAATGTACTTTCCTAACAATTTAGCTTCTGAAGCTGATGCACCTTCTGCGAGCGGTAATATGGAAACTATTTTTATTCTCACAAGGAAACTTTTAAATAAGCAATACATTAGCAACACGCCTATTAAAGATAAGTCAGACAGACTCCTAACAACAATAACAACTGTCGCGCTGCCACAAACATTTTTAAGAACCTCTGAACCAACTATTAGATTATATCTCACACGACAACGCAACGACTACCTTCCCACCAAGTCGATCTTTAGGAAATATATCTTCAA